TACATAAAATTACTTTGAGAAGGTGGCTGTTAAACCAGGTAGGTACAAAACATGCCCACAATGGGTTCCAACTGACACAAGCCTTATACAAAATGCCCCAAAGGAATACAAGTACCTAAATTGTCATCCTTTTAGCACATATATATCTACGCCTTATGTCCCAGACATATAATCTCTCATTTGATTCCAGTCATTTTACAACCTATTTATTACAACAGAATCAGTGCTACGGGAGTCAGATGAGTAATAAAGCAGGATGGCATTTATCTCATCTTCACAGATCTTATCATCTAGGGTGTTTTTAATCACTCATGAGCACAGGATACTAACATACCAAAATGGGGATAAAGATTGAGATGAAAATGAAATGCAAAGTAAATGTCACATTAACATAGTCACTTTTGTGCAAAGACACTACAGAAATCAATGCTTAAACATGTCCGTTTAAATCTGTGGCTGCAGCAATGATCATTGAAGTATCTCAGACAGACATTGTCTTTCCTTGAAATTATAACTTTTTTCTAATTCAAGTGGTTAAGCATTAGTTTTCAAAAATTTTTATGCTTCTTCTTTGAGAAATATGCCTAAAAAGAGATATATCTTTTAAGCTTGCCGGTAGGTCCTTTAAAGGTTAAATGACTATGGCAAAATATGTTGCAGAATGTCCTTGAAAACTGTGTTCAACAAAAGGATGACGAAAAAAGTCTAAAAGTTTGGAAGATATCTATAAATAATGTTTCAAAAGTTCCAAAGTGAATCATAAATCATTCCTATGTGGCTTAACAAACCATAAAGGCAAAAAATTAGCCAATATACTGAAAAAGAAGAGGGCAAATTAAGGGTGTTGGACAGAAAACTAGAAAATGTTTAAAAGGCAGCCATATCTTTTTAACAATTTTGACCATCATAAACTGGTGGGAAGAGTCAATCATGACTGCTAATACCTGACAACTTTTCAAAAAAGTGTAAGATTAAATGTAATATATTTGTGAGGGTTTTTATCTCTTTAACTGTACAAATCAAACTATTTTCTGTCCCATTTCCACTAAATACAGTTTGTATACAACCACAGTACCTATTTAATGCTTCAGATTAGTTAGCTTATGATGTTTTACATTGTACAGAGGGACAGATAAAGAAACCTAAGTTGAAAAGAAAATCCACATTTGAAAAATGTAGGAACACATTTAATATTCATATTTATGTTTTAAAACAAAGGAAAATTTAAATATTTCAAAAATAGAGAAGAGATTTTCAGAGAGGAATGTTTCTTCTTATCAAGGGAGAAGATGTGAAGAAACATGTGGTTTTTGGTCTGAGTGATTTCTTGGGCTATTAATTTATTTTATGATACTGCATTAAATAAATAGGAAGCCTGTGATAACATGTAATTTTATTACTTTCATATAAAAAGGAAAATCCTCAGTTTAGTATGAGCCACTGTAATCCAAAAGAGCCATAAGTGGTTTGGCAGGTTGCAGACCCCTGGATTTAGCCATGTGTACTACATAACAATCAAATAGGAAATAGTCAGGAACCTTCTCAAGGTGGAAAGAGAACACAGAACAACATCTTAAGCACTGTGACCGAAGTCAGTGTACAAGAAATTTCCTGGGTTAGATGGTATTGATGGAAGAGTTAAAGACAAAAAAACAAATATGACATTTTTTTGGAAGGTGATTTTTGACACAAAACTAATTTTAACTACAATTGCGAGCAATTATGTATGAATGGGTTCCAAGCCCATCCCAGCTATTTGTCCCCTGCCCCTAAAATGTGAAACTCTATTTTGATGAGTAGATCCAAAGAAAGACTGGACATATGAAAATTCATTAGGAATTCATATTTATGGATGAAATACCCAAAAAGCTTTTTGACACTGTGCACACATATATAAAACACTGTTCATCAGATATGGGGACTCGAGTTTGTGACTCGTACTCGAGTCGCACTTAAGTCGCATATTTAATGACTTTAGACTCGACTTAGACTTGCATTTGAAGGACTTCAGACTCGTCTGAGACTCGTGATTTCTGACTTGTGAACTATATTTTATTTTTAAGGTTTTTTTGTTTTACTAACTTGACTGATCGCCGCTTGCCTTACCAGCACACAGCAGAGGTAAAAAAAAAAAATAAATTAAAAAAAACGGCAGAGGGGCATGTAGCACTGACGTCACTGACGCAACGCCACGTGACATATATGCCCGCGCGCCCATGTGCATGCATGCATGATCGACAAGCTAAGCTTTAAAAACTTCATGGCAGTAGAGGAGAAATATGTTGTGAATAATGTTGTGAATTGGCATTAAATAAATAAACTGATTTGAATTTAAAATACTGCCCTCCAAGTCGGTTCTGTCTGTTCCAGGGCATTAAGCTACAAAAAGTTATTGCCACAATGTTTCTTTCATGAAATAATTGTTATTGTCCCGGTATTTTAGGGTTTTTCTTTATCTGTTGTAGTTGCTAACTTCATATGTATTAACAAAAAGCAGGATTGTGATTGTTTTTTTCCCCACAGCCCTCATTTTCACTTAAAAATAAAAGAGCAGACATTTACTCCTAAAACTAGAAAAAGTTGTAACCACAAATGTCAGGTAAATACTTCAAGAAAATTGTTGTTTTGAAAGAAGAAAATAAAGATGCAAAATTTAACTGGAAAAAAAATAGCGTGTGTGCTTTTTTTAATTGTATTTTTCATTTACCAGTTCAAGATAATGATCATTCCAAAGATATAGTAACCTTTAAGCTATACCGTCTCAGTGACGGAGATGAAAACACAAGGAGAAACAAGCAAGCACGCAAATTATTGCACTTATTTTAATTAATCGCGTGATTAGAATTTATTGTGCGATTAATTGATAATTGTGACAGGCCTTCTCAAGACTTGGGACTTGACTTGGACTTGAGCTCTTAAGACTTGACTTGGACTTGCAAAAAGTGACTTATGAACATGTCTGCTGTTCATGGAAAGTGAGATCGTTTGGACCCAATCAGCCGAACATTAAAATTAATGTCCAAATACAGAGGGAGACGGTACAATCGGTCTTTTTCCAGGAACCTGCTTTAGCTACAAGGCTTGGCTAACTGCATGCAGTGAGGCTAAGGCTTTATTCTGCTTTCCCTGCCTCCTTTTTCAAACATCAGGACCTGAGCCAGCATAGATAAAGGCAGGTAGGACTGATTTAAAGCACTTTTTAGAAAAGGCAAAGAAGAATGAACAAACAGGGATTTACATGGAAAATAATATAATATAATCTACTTTTTATAGGTGTTTGTTAATTGGAAATAGTTGCTCTTAAATAAACACATTCTCAGAAAAGAAATAGGTTTTATATATTAAAAAATATAAAGCTGACTAATAGCTTCTCCATTTTTAAACTGGTAGATTATTTATATTAGGTTTTGTGACACCATATTGGACCATGCAAAACACAGATTTTCCTTTGAAAAGCCTCTGATCATTGCTACAATGCTGCAGGCAGACAGACTCCAGGACCGCAGCCAGTTCCCTGAAGCTGCACTCAACACCACCATGGAGCCCACCCACTGCTCAACAAGAACAAACTGAAAACTGAGCAGGTTCTTATCTACAGCAATGATGAGTTCAAGAGCTGGAGCCGTGGCTCTGTACCAGCACTTCATAGGGAAAAATCTTCAGCACACCCTCTAAGAGACTGTGGCTCTGCTGAAGATCCTCATCAAAAGTCTCACAGCTGAATCTGAGAGGTGCTTCTCAACACTGCAGAGGGTCAAGACCTTGCTCAGGACCATCATGTCACAGGATCGTCTCAATGACCTGAACATGCTCTCTATGGAGAAGCACCTAATCAAACCCACCCCTGACTTCAACCAGAGTCATTGAGAAATTTGGTTCTCTCAAGGACAAGATAGGCTCTGTGTATGCACCCTGATGCTCTATCTCTCCGGTTCTTTTCTCTGAAAAGAGATCACTCGGGACAAACTCTTTAGATATCATTTCATAACTTATATTTATTTAATAACCAGGAGACATAACAACAGCTTTTGATAGAAATTGTAATCACTCAGATCAGAGAAATTGCTTAGGGTTGCTGAATGGTAGCTGCTTACCTCTGGGCTCACCTCTAAGGAAGTGGCCCCGATTAATGGTTGAAAAAGGCAATTTATACATCTCCACTCTGCCACATCATCACATTTTACATCATACACCTAAGCAGATTATTAGACTTCCATGTCTCCAGTCTTATCAAGATAGGACATCGCTCTCATTCCATTTCCAAATCTTCTCCATGTACAAAATGAAGATTATAACTGTATATCTAGACAGAGGAATTGTCCTAATTAGATTAAAATTTCAGTTCTGATGCGCAACAGGCAGCCCATACCAGGGTGTGATAAACTCACTCATCTTCAATGATAATTATCCTAACAGACAGAAGGGCAAAATTTATCTGCAAAAAAAGGTGAAACTGCACATGATTTTGTGTTTTTGTTTTTATTAAGTGTTTTTATAATGTTGTTGTCATTTAAATAAATATACTGGTGTGGTAACTTATTATACGTTTATTTGTTATAGGTAGCCTATAAGTCTATTTTGAATTTATAGCTCCCCCTGGAGAAACATTTTTTCCAGGAGTATGGAGCAAACCATGACTTCTTCAGCTGCAGTGAAATGTTTTTAGGTTACATAAAATAACTTGGTCAGAAATGTGGATATTTTCTTTATAAAGACAAGTGAAAGAAACAAAATAAACGACAGCAGTGAAAGGCAAACATTTCATCTACATGCATATCTGAATTTTTTTTATCCTCTAAAGGATTTAAATTCTCACTCCCTGCAAAGTCTCCAGGGTTAAACAGCGACATTTGACTTTTAAAACAGGGATGCCTGCAGACAAACAGGTTCTTGAGGTGCAAATCAATATGGGCAGAGCAGCAGTCAGTCAGCTGCAGCCCACCTGGACCAGGCGCAGAGGGGCTCCGTGCGTTTAAAACAGCGCAGCATCACTCAACTTGTTGCTGCAGCTTCAGCATCACCTCCAACTCCGCGCCTCACATCACTTTTTCTTTCATATTTAAGAGTGGAACCATGCGAGCCGCGTGTGTTTGGGCATTTGTTGCTGTCTGGGTGGTCGGCTCCCAGCGGGCAGCAACGCGTAACGACTCCTCTCTTCTTGGAGAGGTGGTGCCGCGCATGGAGAGTTTACTGAATGTTTCTGCGGATTCGGGGAACCGGACTTCGGGATTTTTCCTCTTGGATTTCGATGATGGGATGCTGGAGGAATGGCGCTCATTGGCGAATAGGAAGAGCAGCGGGAAAGAGTCGCAGGAGTGCGGAGTCAAGGTGCTGCTGGTGGCCGCCTACTCGCTCATCATCGTGGTGTCCCTGTTCGGGAACACGCTGGTGTGCCATGTGGTGGCCAAAAACAAGCGCACCCAGTCCTCCACCAGCTTGTTCATCCTGAACCTGGCAGTTGCCGATATTTTCATCACAGTGCTCAATACCCCATTTACTCTGGTAAGAACTTTACTGGACACTAACAAATCTCTATATGGGGCCCCATTCAATAAAGGGGCCAAATTCTCATAACTAACCAGCAACCAAAGAAAGGCTGCTATTGTTTTATTGTGTAGATGACAAAAATAGAATTACTTAGAAAGAAAAACAAAACATAAAACGAGCTAATGTAGCAGCAAAAGTTTGATTTTGGTAGATTTTTTAAGCAGAAATATTGTTATTTGAATAGAACAATTTATTGGTCTAAAATGAGTTACATATTTATCACAATTTGCATTTACTTCATACAATTTCAGCATCTGTTTCAGGTGCAAGAACCTTGCCAATCAGCTTGTTTTGTAGGCTGTTGTTTTAAAATTGAATAATAAAAAAAAAGAGCTGGATCTGTTTCTAAAAAGCCAAATATGTCCCTTTATGAGTAAAGAACTGAACCTACTGTTAATTTGTTAACTGATGGTTTACAGAAACTGGCGGTGGTGGGGCAATGCTGCATTACTGTAGGATCCCTACAGTTTAAAATAAAACATGCTTTTATCCAGACTCGTTTCACAAACTGGTGTACAGTTCTATTTAACATATTAAGACACCATTAAAGTTCATTTATTTCAGAAACTCAGGGTAATTAGTGGTTTATTAGATAGGAATAAATGCAAAAACTGATGTTTTTAAGGCTTTTTTTTGTTTTTGCTTACAGGGTGGTGATAAATACAGAAATGCATTCAATCAAATGCTAAATAAATAGTAAATTTGATACCTTCTTAACGGATAAGCATCATTGCAATTTACTGAATATGACCGCATATGCTAAGGTATGGTTTTGCACACTAGTACATGGCATCGGCGGTGCCTTCACAAGCTATTTGTTTCTCTCTGTGACTCTTCCATCACAGATGAGAAACGTAAATGCTAAATTCTGAGATTAGTTCTGTCATATGAGCTTATTGAATGTTTAACCACTTTAAGCTGAGCTCCCAGGTGTGTTTGTGTTTTCTTAGGTCCGATTTGTGCACAGCACCTGGGTGTTTGGGAGGACAATGTGCCACATCAGTCGATTTGTACAATACTGCTCTCTGCACGTATCCACTTTGACGCTCACCGCCATTGCTCTGGACAGAAGACAGGTCAGCCCATACATGTGCCAAAGGGTGTTTACCATTTCTCCTCTGTAGAGCTCCAAGCTTTCCTAATCTAATCAAATACCTCTCTTCTAACCTCTTGTACTATCCCCTGTTCTACTCCTTGCCTTGCATCTAAGTCTCTATACAAGCAAGGATCAGTAAGAAAGAGCATAAACACTTTTGATTTAATTGCATACAAGGGGGATTTTTAGTTCTGACCCTCTGCTTAATTTGAACTTACTTCAGAAGAAATGTATGCTACTGACAATGTGACTTAATTCTGAATCCATCTGTTATTAGTTCTGCAGATCAAAAACACTTCTCTCTTGACTCCACCAGCATGCCTCCTCTCCTCTCCAAACCTCTAGACACATCTTACGAATGACACTTGTTTTATAATAACACACTGTGATTGATTCTATATTACAGGCTGGAGAAAAGAGGAGATGAGGTGACATAAAAACAGCAACCTGAAAGGAGCTCATTCATGTAGCTTCATAACACTTTGGTAAAATCTGAGATTTAAGAGCTCTAATTATTTGAATTATGCTTTGTCTCAGTTGTACCAGGTGGAATTTGAATACCCCCCTTACAATTGTAAAAATCAATAAAAATTGAAATATTTTGTCTTTACAGATGCTTTTTAAAATAGAATTCTAAGCAGATTGTTTTTATACCATTATGCTACCATTATGCTTTTGGTATCCAGTTTTGTGTGTGAAATGACTAACGCACACCGCAAGCAGCAGAAGCAGCAAGAGCAGCTAGTTTACATGCAAAGTCAATGTGTGATGCGCATCTTGGCTCAGCAAAAGGTCGCAGCGTGTCATGAGCTTCTGAGCATCTGACACACGCAATGTGAATGCAGCAGCTGCTGGGGTTGGAAAACTGTAACTTTTGCTGCTTGACACACCACATTGACAGTGGCGACAGTGGCGTTGGATGTAGGAGTTTGCCCTGAAGTGAAAGGAGGTACAAGCACCGACTCCGACTCTCAGTGTCATTGTGTCCTTGGGCAAGACACCTGCATTGTCTACTGATGGTGGTCAGAGGGCCCTTTGGCGCCAGAGTACGGCAGCCCCACTTCTGTCAGTGAGCCCCAGGACAGCTGTGGCTACAATGTAGCTTGCCACCGTGAGTGTGTGTGTGAATGGATGAATGAATGTAGTGTAAAGCGCTTTGGTCAAGTCTCCTGACTTGAATAAAGGCGCTATATAAGTACATGCCATTTACCATTTACATCAACCAATCAGAGAAGCTGATCTGGGAGCTGGCAGAGCACTGATGAGGCAGATCACTATGATCACTCCTGTGAAACAGTTTATTAATGCCTTAATTAACTCAAAATGTCGGAAACCTGCTTAGCAGCTTGGTCTGAACTTGTAATGGAACGGTTTCAGAGGGTAGTGTAAATGGGGCATATGCATATGAATGGCCACTGTAATACGAATGTGTGCACACAAAGTTCATATTAAAATTTAATACATTGGTGGCAGTCTCAAGACTGCTTTAAAAATAAAAAGGAGAGATCTCTATAAATAGATATGTTTGTTTTCAAGTGAATGTAAAGTAACATTAAATTGACACAAGTTGTAAATAGACAAACTATAGATGTAGGCTTTTATGACTGAACTGGAACAGATGGATGTGGATGACTACATGGATTCAAACACGGATCAAAGAGAGGACTGAAAAGAGAGAGGTTACATTAATAGCCAAAGCTTTGTTGATGAAAATTAAGAATTTTGTAAAGTAAAAGAAAATCTAAGTTAAATGAGCTTATAAAACTAAGGGAAGATATTACTTTCTTAAAAATGACATTGTGTGTAGTTACATAAAGGAAGAATTACAGTTTTTGGGGTTTGTATGAAGAAACACACAAGGTGCACCAATATTTGGTTTATTGCCTGTGGATGAAGCACAGAAACATGAACTATGGATTCAAGCGTTCATGATTTTGCTGCTACCCACATATGGTTAGCTGAGGCTCAGCGTTCAGCCATGCTGCCTGAAGATCTTGCACAGAATGCATTAATAAGTCATACTAAAGCTGAAACAAAAGTTGCCAGTAGTGGCACGATAAAGGAGGAGCCTCAGGTTGAACCTTATGACAGCATTTCAAATAAATTCATAAAAGCTTTCAGAAGAATCAAAAGCAAAAGGGGTTCTTCTATGACAAGTTCGTCCTCAAGCAGTAAAGCTTCAGCACTGGTTGAATAAATAAAGGCAGAAGCAGAAAGGGCTGCACTGTTGGCTTGCGCAACAGCTCTAAAGGGAAAACATGCACTGGAGAAACAGGAGCATATGTTAAAGGAATAGTACACCCAAAACATGATTAGCCTTCATTTTCTACTCACCCCCATGCTGAACAACACTCTGGAGTACTTTTTTGATATCTCAAATGCATCTGGAGGTCTGGGAGGCTTCTTGCTGTCTGCTGACATTCAAATAATGGAGGTCCATGGTGCCCGAGACAGAAAGGTCCATAAAAGTCCACAAAAAACATGTCAATATTCCTCCATACTGCTCGTCCAATGTATTCCAAGTGTCCTGAGTGGGTAGCATCCAGAATTTACTCGAAACGAAGTCATTTAGAATGTTTTTAGAGCATAAACAGTAGTGTATAGGATTTCCTGAAAGCGCGCACATGCGCGTTCACGACGCTACGGAAGCCGGCACACCAAACCAGATGAAAGTGCGCATTCAGCGTCTGCTCTGCCAATAATGCAAGCGTAGAAGAAGAAATGTGCTGTTTACCTGTGCAAAGAAAGAAACAACGAAAGAAAAATGTCTGAGGACTTCAGTGTTGAGGAAGAGCAGGAGTTCTTTGCCGAGCTGAATGCGCTGGTTTGGTGTGCCGGCTTCCGTAGCGTCGTGAACGCGCATGTGCGCGCTTTCAGGAAATCCTATACACTACTGTTTATGCTCTAAAAACATTCTAAATGACTTCGTTTCGAGTAAATTCTGGGTGCTACCCACTCAGGACACTTGGAATACATTGGACGAGCAGTATGGAGGAATATTGACACGTTTTTGTGGACTTTTATGGACCTTTCTGTCTCGGGCACAATAGACCTCCATTATTTGAATATCAGCAGACAGCAAGAAGCCTCCCAGATCTCCAGATGCATTTGAGATATCAAAAAAGTACTCCAGAGTGTTGTTCAGCATGAGGGTGAGTAGAAAATGAAGGCTAATCATGTTTTGGGTGTACTATTCCTTTAAAGAAAAAAGGAAACAACTTGAGATGGACACTAAAATAGCTGCTGCTAATGCCAAGCTAGTGGTACTAGAGGGAAGTAGAAAAGGCAGCATCACATCTAAGTACTCTGATGGGATGGATTCATATTTTAAAAACAGTACTAGACGCAAGGTCAAGCCTTCTGTCCTCCTTTCACAAGCTACACAGTGGTTAGCTTGGAATCCTGAGGTTCTGAGTTCAAGCCCCACTCCCACAGACTGCCACTCTGGGTCTCTGAGCATGACCCCCTGATTGCTTCCCGGGCACCCCACAATGGCAGCCCACTGCCCCTCAAGGGGATGGGTTAAATGCAGAGGTAAATTTCTCCAATGTGAGATCAATAAAGTTCAATTATCCAATTAATTCTTATTACACAGCCTGCAACCAGGATGGATGGATGGATGGATGGATAGACGGAGCAATGGCATGATTTATACAGGAGGTCACCAACAAGCAGACTCTTGTCTGGGTCCAGATCTGTGTAGCTTTTACCCGGACCTCAGGAAATTTTATGTGCTAACATGAATTTATTGTAGTTTTGCTTAAATTAGAATTTTCATTAGGCTTTGACAGCCGAGCTTCCACCGCTATCTCAATTTTAATTTAGAGTTGTAAACTTGACCAGATCAGCTATGCCTTTGATTTTTCAATTCAATTTATTTATATAGTGCAAATTCCCAACACATGTCATCTCAAGGCACTTCACAGAACCAGATCATACAGTTAATTTGATTCACTTTTCTATCCACAGAAAACCAGTTGATTGCATCGACTTACGTATTCACTCGAAGGCAATCCCTCAAACTAAGCATGCTTGTTGTGACAGTGGAGAGGAAAAACTCCCTTTAAACAGGAAGAAACCTCCAGCAGAACCAGGCTCATTGTGAGCGGCCATCTGCCGAGGCCGACTGGGGTTCATGGAGACAGAAGCAGAGATACAAAAAGCAACTGTAAAAGGCGGCCCCATCCAGCAAACACACAGCCAGGCAGATGAGCTCCAAGCCAACTCCCATGTCAGAGGACGGAGAGAGCACATCCAACCGGTCACAGTCAGAGAAACAGGACTAAACTGAAAAACAGGCCCATCTCGAATATCTATCTATAAACAAAGTTGTTGATAGCAGCAGCACAGCTGATATTTCTCTCCAGAATGGTGTCACAGCCAAACAGGAACAGATGATCAGCCAACTTCCTGCCCTAATGAGCAACTCTGCTTCAGAGGGACATGCATTTGAAATAGTAAACTGCAAAAGTAGAACAGTTGCCTATTTTAGAGAAGCAGCCAGCGGAGGACGCTTTTGGAATTCTTAAGAAAACACGCTGCAGCACTTACAGTGGAACCACTCCAATTGGCTAGAATAGAGCCACATCATGGCGTCATTTCGGCTTCTGGTGGAAACAAGGGGTTAGAAGCAAAGGGGATGTTTAATCATATATCTAAGTACAGTATACACCCGTTAATTTTGTATACCTACAGGTCCGTGCAGAGTTAATGGTTTGAGCTTGAGTTAATCCAGACAAACTACTGTATGAGGCATGCACACACCGATATCTAAGGGCAATTTAGAAAGACCAATGAAGTTTACAGTCTCTAACCTTTACCTCTAGATATCCCATACATGCTCAGGGAGAAGAGGAAAATTTAATAAAGATAGACTCCAGGCTAACATACAAATCCAGGACCTTTTTCCTGCAAGGTAACATTGACAACAACAGACTCAAATACAGCCCTTAATTAAAGCTAGGATAAGCTGAATTAGTT